CAGTTAAATAGTGTACTGAACAATAAATACAACAGAAGTGTATTACACCACTTGGGAGTGTGTGTCGGTTGACCAGCGTTCAGTCTATATTACTGTCACGCCACCCCCAACCCTTACTTTCCTACTACTTTATAGTAAGTGGAAGAGTCCACAATAGCCTCATTAGAGGGAAGACACCATAACAATAAGAAACAGGAAAAAAAAAACATTACATAGTAAAAAGGACAATATAAGAACACGAATTAAGAAGCTAACGACTGACATTGCATTTAAATTTTGGCAATCAAAGTTGATTGGGAAGAAAGAAGCTGAAAGAGAGTTCCACAAGCAAGAAGTGCGTTAGAAGAAACTGTTAGCATAAAACTTGCGGGTAGATCAAGCCATTTCAAGTGTAAAATGATGAAAAACTTGCCACCAATCTAGTACTGTTATTAAATTCAGAAAGTCTAAGTTCAATCAAGGCAAGTTTACTACCATCTGTACAAGTTCCTGTACTTTCCTTTCTGTGTCTACTGTGTCATTATTTATATTATTTTAAGTCAGATGGAGGTGGTCAAGCTTGACAATGACAGCAGTAGCAGAAAGTTTAAGGTTCCAAGTTCTAACTTCCGAATTATTAGCCATCCGAAGAGTTTAATTCCATGTGGTTATCTTTGCTTAAATTATTCAAAGATCAAAGAACATTTCCATATGAAAAGTGAAGGTAAGCTGTAAGCATTGACGAAAGAATAGAAATCTTGACATTACGAGGATTGCCACCTGCATATATATATATATATATATATATATATATATAATCATTTCAATTTAAGCAAGGCAATAAAGTAACACAAGGGGTTACTGAGTACAAAAGAATATGAGAAAAAGAAAAAAAACATTAACAAGAAAGAACAATCAAAGAACAGAAATCAAGAGGCAAGTAGATAAGGATTAACATTACATTTAAATTTTTTGATCACAGTTGACTGGGGTACAAGTAGCCAGAAGAGAGTTCCACAAGCAAGACGTGAGAGAATAAACTGCTACCATAGAACTCAGGGTAACATCCAGCAAAATGTAAAATGATGAGACCTAGCTGCCAAGCTAGTACTGCGCTTAAATTCGTAATGCTGAGGTACTAAAAAGGAAAACTCTCTCTCTCTCTCTCTCTTTCACACACACACACACATACACACACACACACACACACACACACACGCCAACTCTTGAAAGGCAAAAATGCTATAATAATTTCACCCAAAACAAGGCAATAAAGCCACCAAAACGCAAGGGGGTTACTGAGTGTGAAAGAATATAAGAAAAAAACATTATTAAGGAGAAAGAACAATAAAAGGGTTTTCAGAACCCTGTTCCATGTGGTACAAATAACTGGTTTCTCTTCTGCATATTTAAACCAGCCATCTGAAGAATTCAATTCCATGTGGGTATATTTGCTTAAATTATTCAAAGATCAAAGAATATTTCTATACAAAAGGTGATGGTAAGCTATAAGAATTGATGAAGAAATAGAATTCTTGAGATTACGAGGATTACCACCTGCCTTATATTTATTTTTTAATCATTTCAATCTAAGAAAGGCAATAATATAACACAAGGGGTTACTGAGTACAAAATAATATGAGAAAAAAAAAACATTATTAACGAGAAAGATCAATAGATAGGCGGATGCTAAGGATATCATGGACCAAGCGTGTTAGCAACGATGTTGTTAAATAAATCATGTTTGCTCTCATCGATTCGGATAAATCCGAAGACGTCTTGGGATGGCCAAAGACGCATTCCATAAGCTAGGAAGAGTATTATGAAACAGGAGGATCTTGGTAACAAAAAAAAGAATACTAAACTTCTACGTGACATTTGTCCTCCTTTACGGCAGCGAATGTTGGACGGTCACCTCAAAGATGAAGAAGAGACTCGAGGCAACGGATGTAGAGACGGATGCTAAGGATCTCATGGACCAAACGGGTCAGCAACGATGTGGTTAAATAAATCATGGTTGCTCTCATCGATTGGGATAAATCCGAAGACATATTGGTATGGCCAAAGACGCATTCCAAAAGCTAAGCAGGGTATTACGAGACAAGAGGACCTCCTTGGTAACAAAGAAAAGAGTACTGAACTGTTACGTGATATCTGTCGTCCTTTACGGCAGCGAATGTTGAACGGTCTCCTCAAAGATGACTCGAGGCAATGAAGGTATGGGTCTACAAAAGGATGCTAAGGATATGTGGGAGCAACGATGTGATTTTGGAGAGGATTCAAGCAAGGTGGAAGCTTATACTTAACATCAGAAAGGGGCAGCTGAAGTTTCAGGGGCAACTAATGAGAGAGGAGCGCTTGGAGAATCTGATACTCACAGGTTGAATAGAGGGAAAGACAGAATGCAACGCATGACATACATAGCGGGCTTAAACAAGTGGATGGCAGAACATGGACGGTAGGAAGTAGCAAAAGGCACAAAACTAATTGAGAGCTACAAGGGATAGGAAGAAGTGGAGAGCCATGATCCCCTATATCCTGAAGGGACAAGGCACATAAGAAAAGACTACAAGCGTTGTTGCCAGATAGGATATCGTTAACTGTATCATGATTAACCGTTCCCGGCAAACACAAGTTTGAGGAAGCATTGGGTGCGTCTATTAAAACTAATTTTATACCAAACACGCAGATGTTTGGTTTGGTTTGGTTTACGGCATATCAACCTCAATGTGTTATTTAATGCCGTCAAGATTTTTATTGCTGGTAATACTTTTTCCTCAAAAATTAATAAAAATCACACTCTATCTCTGTGACCTCGTTCCCAATAGCCATTATACAGGGTGTCCATAAAGTTCGAGTGCACTTTAAAAAAATTATAACTTTATTTGTATTTGCGATAGAAATAATTTGTAAAAAGGATTAGAAAGAAGTAAATGTATATTTTTTAAGGTTTTATTGAAATTTTATTTAAGTTTCCACATGTCCTCCATCATTAGCAATACAAAGGGTAATATAATTTTGCAGTTCACGGAAAACATTTGCGAAATGATTTACAGTAATGCCTGTAATCACATTAGTTATTTTAGCTATTCTCAAAACTAAGTACATTAAACTTTATAACATTTTTTACAGATTATTTCTATCGCAAATACAAATAAAATAATTTTTTTAAAGTGCACACAAACTTTATGGACACCCTCTATATGACGTCACACTAGACCGTTTCAAACGTTCAGCTTCGCAAAGAATAGCATGATGCAGACAGAGGAATTCTAACTACTACAGTCAGTAAGTTATGTACCACACGCTTAGACGATCATGTATCTTTCGATACATAACTGACGAGGCAGATCTTTTTCCCGCAGCAGGTTGTCATTTTTTTCTGTCGTATACCTGTTGCCATTCAAGGCTATAGAATTCGGTCTGTTCTGATATTTACCCATAGTTAGAGGGGGGGGAGAAGAGGATTCATACCTTTCCCAAGGGTATTAGCACGTAAGTGAATGTAATGGATTCAACTGGAATTCGAACTCGGCTCTCCGATTCCTCAAAAGAGAGCACACCCATTCTTGATAACAACTGAGAAAGTGGAAAGTACTTGAACAAAAATTCTAACTATCACAGTCAGTAAGTTATGTACCACACGGCTAGACGATGATCAGTGTGGGAGCAAAAGTAAAGAGACATGATAGAGGAAAGGATGAAGAGAAGGACGGGGAATAGATCAAGGCATCTGGAGATGTCGATTGATATTGCATTTGAACAGATGGAGATAACATCTATCAGGGAAGCAAGTAAGAGGAAGAGAGTTCCACTGTCAGGAAGTGCGAGACATGAAGCTATCCGCCCCACTCCTTCTTTCTTAATTGGCTCTCTGTCTTCTTGATTCTTTCAATTTCTGCGCATGCGTAAACAATTATCTGGCACTCTGGTTTCTTGGAAAACGAAAAGGTTCCGTTCCTCTGGTTATACTCAATCCAGATGTTCACCTATGACGGAATTATATATTCGCGAGCGCCCACACAATAAAATATAAGGCACGCCTTGCTAATTCTCGGGTAATGAATGAAGTCTGTTCCTAAGGCTATACTTAATCGGGGTACCTCAGTCGAAGTTTTACTGCTTAAGACACGAACGGTAGGATTGCAACTGGGTCTTTCCTAAATCCTAATAATATATATATATATATATATATATATATATAAGTTTTTTCTTTTCTTTATTTATTAAAAAAAATGACTGCGTGTTATATAAAAAGAATAAGAAGTCGGAACAAGAAAGAACAATTTTATAATTCCAAAAGGCTACAACATGGTTATTATGGCGAACAGAAATATTTGAAATCCTGGAGCCCATCCAGATAATTGGGACTTCTAAAAATAAAGAAATAAAAATAGATTTTTATATTCCCGATTTCATTAAGTCTAAAAATAGACATGAAAAAGCAGACTGACTGTCGCCACCATGCGGACGTGACAGTAAGCACACCAAATGACCCTTGTTAACCAATGGAAATACGACCATAAATATTAAATTTTGTCTTTCGTTTGGAGTCTGGACTATATAAGAACGGTGGGCACCTCGAGGTGGTGTAATGGTTAGCAAGCTTTTCTCGCTAGAACTATTACGACTGAGTAAGCGAGTTCGACCCTCACTGGGTGCCCACTACTTTCGGCCTTGTGCCACATCTAAGCTACGCTTGGAAAATCACTATATAAGAACGCACCCGGGGTCACTCAATTGTCTTGGCTTAGCAGCATATCAACACCTCTATGGGTTATTTAATGACGAAATCTAAATATTTTGTACGCAGTTTTTTTTCATTATTTAAAAAAAAATAATAATCGTTTAGTGGTACAGATTTTACTAATTAACCCATAGCTACGGAGAAGAGGCGGGTGCGTACCTTGCCCAAGGGTACTTGCGCGTAAGTGAATACAACGAATCCAATTGAAATTGGAACTCGGCTCTCCGATTAATAATTCCGAGTCATTATCCATTACACCACCCTCACATCCAAGCTTACAACAGCTGGGATTTCCAAGCGGTCACCCATCTAGATACTGGCCAGGCTCGACGTTGTTTAACTTCGGTGATCGTATCAGAACCAGTGTACACCAAAGTCAATCGGGAAACTCCCAGCGAGGACACACAGGAGCGACACACAAAAGTACAAACAGCAATCAATAGTCATTCAGAGCAACTCAAGAGAGATCAAAATTTTGACCCAAACACAAACTACGTCGAAAAAAAAAAAAACTCCCTCCTAAATGAGTTCCTTCTATTCTTAAATTCGTCAAACATGGAATATATATATATATATATATATATATATATATATATATATATATATATATATGAAATGGACAAAATCCGACAATTATTTTTAAGACATTTTTATGTTTATACATTCTTTTTACAGATGCAAATATTTAAGTAAATGCTCTGTTTATAATAAACAGTATTAAACAACATTTACCAGCCTGAATGTCCGAGAAATTGTCATAAAAAATATGCGTCCTCCGACAGGAATCGAACCTGTATCCTATACTCAGCCATTTACTTAAATATTTGTATCTATAAAAATGAATGTATAAACATGAAAAATGTCTTAAAATAATTGTCGGATTTTGTCCATTTCATAATGTGTGACGTCATTTGTTTACATTTGGATACGCATCAAGCAGATATGAATGTACGAGAGAAAATCATGGAGAATTGCAGTTTAAAAACAGAAAAATCGACCTTGCTAACCGAAACGCTCCTCTGTGTTTCAATCGGTAAAAGCACGTCGGGCTATATGACGGTTCCTTATTGGATACAGGTTCGATTCATGTCGGAGGACGCATATTTTCTATGAAAATTTCTCGGACATTCAGGTCGGTAAATGTCGTTAATATTGTTTATTACAAAAAGAGCATTTACTTCAATATTTGTATCTATAAAAAGAACGTATAAATATAAAAAAAGTCATATATATATATATATATATATTGAACAATAAAAAATATTTATATATATATATATATATATTGAACAATAAAAAATATTTAAATATATATATATTGAACAATAAAAAATATTTAAATATATATATATTGAACAATAAAAAATATTAACATTTTGAAACACACTGGGTTGTATATAAATATTTTTTGTTTTATTATTTCAAGTAGGTTACTCGTCTAGTTTCAGCCAGCATGGCCATCATCAGGAGAAAAAAAATTCCTGTTGGTTAGTAACAGTGAACTACAGGAGTGAATGACTGTTTTTGGTAAAAGTGAACTTTATCTGTAGTTTTCATTTGTTTTTTGCCATTAATTTTGGTCAGCCCTTGTGTTGGTCATCTTAGTGCTAAAGAGAACAATTAGAAAAGATCCAACTCAATTCATAAAAGGTTTGGCACGTGAGAGAGAAGTTTCACCTATGACACTTATTCTTAACATCAGAAAGAAAGAGTTAAAATTTCTTGTGCACATCATGAGGAAAGAGGGCTTGGAAAATTTTATACTCACAGGGCAGATTAAAGGCAAGGGGGCCAGAGGAAAAAAAAATAAAATACATAACCTACCTCATGAGCTTGTGTAAAAAGCTGATAGAACAAGCATTAGGAGAAAACAGCAAAAAAGACAAACTTTACTAACCACTACAAAAGACAGGAAGTAGTGGAGACCCATGATCACCAACGTTTGCGGATACCGCTAATACAAGTGGAACGCTGTGATTGTGAATGCTTTTGATTGCATTCAAACATTGACGAAATACTTAAGAATATCATTAAAGATTTTTTTTTCTTCTTGCAAATTTCAGTCTTTTTTCAGTATTTTTGCTCCTGCTGCTGTTGAAAATCGAAATACTCCGTATGTTCGAGGTTTTCTATTTCCGGTTCCACGATAATGGAAAAAAAAACCTTGGCAATTTGTTTGATAGTGAATTTGTTGAGACGGCAGAATGACTTGCATAAAAAAATAAACGAGTGATTAAAAGATAGGTTTTTTTAAATGCTCAAATATATACGATTTATGAGTTGATACCATCGGCAGCATATTTAGGCTTGTGTGCGTGTTTTAGCGAGGAGAGTAAGAATGAGTCGAGAAAACTCACAGTAAGGGAGACAGTTCTAGGAGGGTGGAAAGAGAAAGGAGGAGAGAAAAGATCGTACAGAAAGAGAGAGAGAGAGAGAGAAAGACGAAGGATCATTATGAGAGAGGGAAATAGAGAAAGGATCGTTAGTCAACTGACACAGAGAGAGAGAAAAAACTCAGAAAAAGAGAGACAGGTCTATGAGGGTGAAAAGAGTGAGAAAGGGGGAGAGAAAAGATTGTTATGAGAGAGAGAGAGAGAGAGAGAGAATTAACTTATCGTTAGGACATTGAGTGAGAGATAGAGTCAAAGATAGTTAAGACACCGAAAGAGAGAGAGCGAGAATTAAATTATCGTTAGGACATTGAGAGAGAGATAGAATCAAAGGATAGAGAGAGAGAGAGAGAGAGAGAGAGAAACAAACAGAATGGATCGTTAGAGCAAAAAGAGAGAAAGGGTCGTTCGGACATCGAGAGAGAGACAGACAAAGATATAGAAAGGATTGTTAAGACACAAAAAGTTAGAGAGAGAGGATCGTTAAGGAATTCAAAGAGAAAGAGGGAGAAAGGATTACTAGGAGTCTGAGAGAGAGAGAGAGTGATGAAGAAAAGATCATTCGGATACTGAGAGAGAGAGAAAAGATTGTTAGAATATTGAGAGTGAGAAAGGATTTTTGGCATACTAAGACAGAGGGAGAAATGATGGTTTGGAAACTGAAAGAGAAAGAGGGAGAAAAGATCGTTAGCAATCTGAATGAGAGAGAGAGAGAGACGTAGAAAGGATCGTTAGAATACTGAGAGAGAGTGAGAAATGATCACCAGGACACCAAGAGGAAGGAGCGAAATGAGAGAGAGAGAGAGAGAGAGAGAGAGAGAGAGAGAGAGAGAGAGAGAGAGAGAGAGAGAAAAGAAGGTATGGAGGACGCCGACAGACTGAGGGATGGAAAGGAAGAGAGAAGCGGACTGGGGTACGAGTAGACGGAGTGAAAAGAACAAAAGAAAAGCGATGTTAACAGATAGAGTGATATATACAGACCTACTTCTGACTATCAGGTAGGTAGTTCCATAACAAATTAAGTTCGATAGCATATCTGCAAACAAGCAATGAACTGATGAAACTATTGATCAGCCATAAATTACGGCTATTTTACGACTGACTCTCGAGAAATGTCTTTTTCAGAAAACAAGAATCATGATAACAAGAAATTTGGACAATCAGAACGCCTGGCAATTTTTTTCTGAAAACTTAAGCTGTCCAAAATTCTCTGGGGAAATCATAAAGCGTTATTCGAATTCTACAATACTTCATATCTTGAGAGAGAGCCTAAGACCAGTCTCCTCTCTTTTTTAATTGTCTGCAAAACAAGAAAGGGAATACACTGTAGAATACAGTGTATTTTTTTTTATATAAAAATGGTGGAAATTTTGGCCCACCTAATACGTAATGCGTAAACGCGTCTACATAATTTTTTTTTTTTATGAAATGCTTTGACCTATCTTGACCGATTTCCGCTTGTACAAAAATCATAATTGAATCTTGTCAATCATCTTAAGTTCTGAAATGCAGTTAGCTATCATAACATTTCGGCCGATTCATTCCACAGCCTTCTATAATTTTGTGAAGAATCATTATCTTTCCATGAGGTCTGCTGATTTGTTAATTCAGATGATCAAACCTACTGTCTTCTGCAGCGTTAAATTCCATTAATATAGTGATTTTCCAAGTTTAGATGTGGCTCAAGGCCGAAAGTATGGGACACTCAGTGAGGATCGAACTCACTTTTCAGTCGTAATTGTTTTAGTGGGACAAGCTTGCTAACCCTTACACCGCCTCGAGGTGCCCACAAACACACACATATATATATATATATATATATATATATATATATATATATATATATATATATATATATATATATATATATATATATGCAGGGTGCGATGGGTAAATTGTTGCTATCTTATATACATCATGCACGTTGTTTCTTTTGATTCTATTAGGGTCAGTTGGGCACCATCTGTGAGAAAAAGAGAACCATGACGCAATTCACTCCGCCAGAAATTTGGAAACGGCATGCTGTACAGCTTGACATTCACGTCGGAAGCTCCAATACGAACATTTCAGAGTGTTCGAGTGTCAATCTGAGGATAGTGCAGAGGATTCGGGAAGGAGTTGGATGAGTCTAATGGTGATTGCGAAGGTACGGCAGCTCGGAAAACTCGCTCTGATCGTTCTGATAAGAAAAGAAACCCCGAATTTGTTAGTGAGGGCCTGAGACTCAAGTGCGTTGAGGAGGTAGTGCAGCCCTGGATCATGAGGGTGGCTGGTGGAAAACCCTCTGTACCATGCCACATAAACAGGAGAACCAAGTCATGGCTGTCAGACAATTTCTGCAACCACATCACCCCTTACATCTGGCCACCTAACTCCCCAGTTTGCAACCCCTTGATTATTATGTGTGGGACGCAGTTGAGTGAGAGACCAACAAAACTCCTTGTAACAACAAGGATGAACTGAAGGCGAGAATTATGGTAGCATTCACTAACAGAAAAAATAAATGAACAAAGTGATAAACTGAATCGACCAACCCATTCAAAGGAATCTGTATAATACAGGCGGTTCCATTAAAAAAAAAAAACAAACAACTGCTGTGAGATCCTGAAACTTCGTGTAGTGTTTTGTTCTATTGCGTATCATCTACATTCTCATTGTATACCGGTAATTACTCGGTCAGGACCCCCCACGTTTCATCAAAGACTGAATCAACGACAGACACGGTTTTTTCTCTTTTCTTTTTTACTCGATTTATTACAAGCGCTGCTGATTTTGATTACCGGCACATCAACACCTCTATGGGTTAATTAATTCCGAAACCTAAATATTTTGTACGCAATTTTACTCCTTCAACTCCGGATATTTTGCCCACCATTTTCTATTTTCAGGGCAAATGTATGTTTATTAGAAATATAGTTTATAGATGATAAAAATGTATTGTTGGTATTTCTTTATAAAAATCTATTGCTGGTAATTTTACTATAAATATGTATATTTATACTTGAGTGGTCTATTGATTGTCGTTCTGCTGTAAAAATATATTTTGGTCATTTTACTATAGAAAAAAGGAACTGTTAATTTTTGCTTGGAATTTTCCTATTTTCCCATAGCTGGGATCCTAACAGGCGCTACAACCCCAGGTCAGGGCGGACCTGAGAACAATAGCGGTTAAAATGTTGTTTCACTCTCTTTAAAACTTCTAATCTCCTGCTTAGAGGCGTTGCTGCTGGGTGTATCTAGTTTATCGCCATCCCCAAGACAAATTACAGGTGCCATATGGTAGACATCGTTTTTTGGGGCAAGTGAGGAGGAGAAGATGTCGAGAATAGATGCTAGTAGGTCGGCCAGCGCCTTATTCTCTGCCAACTGAAAGCGGAGCATTGAAAGGATTTGTGAAGAAAAGGCTTAGACGATAACCAGCGCTTTTATTTTCTTAACAGTCGCAACTGTACCCTTTCGCGCGTTTTGTTCGTCTTATATTATAACTTAAACAAAGGGAGCAACTCTTATCCAACAGACGATACGTTGCTTGCCTTTCATTCCTACATGTCTTGTTATTACTTTGGCGGATGTTTGGTCAAGTTTCATTCCTTATTTCCACCAGCTAAGGACCTCCAGAGTTAAGTCTTGCCATACCATGGTCACGGTAGATAACCATCTTTATTCCCTTCGTGATCGTTCCATTCAGACAATTTCTTCAACTTTACAAAGTCGAACAATCTCCCGAGAGAATGCTTCCTTGACAACTAAAACCTTTGTCTCTTTAATGTCCACCCATAGATGAAACCTCCACCAGCCTTTCCTTACTATATTACAATTATTATGGCAGATGCTTGGAAAAGTTAAATTCTTTAGTGCCACCAGCGAGGACCTTCACAGCTCTTACCAATCATGGTATGTTAATGATGAAATACCATTCTCATTCTATTTGATTCAAACCAAGTTACACTACGATAGCTTTATCCCCAGAACTGTTACTTTAGGAAAATAAACTCCCTCGGGGATGCTTCCCTGACAACTAATGTCTTGGCCTCTTTAATGTCCACCCTACAACACTTATCCCACAGATGAAACATTACCAGCCTTTCCTTACTATATTACAATTATCATGGCAGATGCTTCGAAAAGTTAAATTCTTTAGTGCTACCAGCGAGGACCTTCACAGCTAAGGTCAATCATAGTATGTTAATGATGAAAAACCATCCCCATTCTATTTGATTCAAATCTAGGACAGCTTTATCCCCAGAACTGTTATTTTATGGAAAAAACTCCCGCGAGGATGCTTCCCTGACAACTACAATTTTGGTCTCTTTAAGTCCCGGATAGAGCGATATCTATCTATCCTATTCGTCTTCATAAAAAAGAATCCATCAGTGGAAGAATTCGACGTCAATGTGGTTCAAACCGCTCGACTAAATGCGAGTTCTAAAAGTTCTAACCAGTAAAATAGAGTTTGCCATTTCTGTGTATATAACGCAGCGATTGATTTAATGATTTTTATTCCAATTTTCCAGGTGGAAAATCCTATCCTCGTCAAACTAAATTACGTGAAATAAGAAGTGCAAATTATCTCAGAAGATTGATAGATAGTAAAAAAACAATGCAATTTTCCGTTCATAGCGTCTGCGATAATGTCTCTCCACAATTTCCTATCTTTTGCAGATCTTAATTTTGTCTTTTCGCTACATCTCCTAATTCTTGTTCTGTCAACCATTTCAGTCAGTCTGTTAAGTGATAGACGCTTGGGCGACCATATCTTTTTCGATTCATGACTGAAGATTTTCTCGCAGTCGGTAACAGTTTTTTTTTTTTTTGTGGTAGACTGGTTGCTAATCAAGGTTATACATAGCTGGGGCGGGGGAGAAGAGATAGATATATACCTTTCCTAGGGGCATTAGCACGTAAATGAATACAACGAACCTGACTGGAATTCGAACTCGGCCCTCCGATTTCTCAGTCCAAGACGATATCCCTTATACCATAATGCACTCACGTCAAACATTTAAGCAAGCTCATTAGTTATATTAAACCCTTATTTTCTCTGTCCCTCTTGTCTTCAGTATGTACTGGAATTGTAAAATTTTCTAGGCCCTGTTTCTTTAGTAAGTATCTTAGAATTTTCAGCTGTTGTTTCATGAGATTTACGTGTTATTTTGTTTCTGTTTTCTCTAAGACTTCGTTGTTACTCACATGATTTTTCAAAAATGTATAGCTAGTAATATTTTCTTTCAAAAATGTATTACTGGTAATATTTTCTTTCAAAAAATGTATTACTGGTGATATTTTCTTTCAAAAAATTATTTTTACACTTTCATAGTGTTCTGACCCGAGTTTGAGGGTTAATTATTTGCCCATAGATGGAACCATAACAGGTGCTTCCGCCCTGGATCAGGATAGACCTGGGAACAACAGCAATTAAGAAGTGGTTCCACGCTCCTCAAAACCTCCCGACCAGAGGCTTTGCAACCGGATGGAGTTAATCTTCATGCCCAGGACGCCTCATTAAGGGTTCGGGGTTACGCCTCTGCAGGGGTGCAGTTAGCGTATTCTGAAGACCCAGCCGACAGGGCGGGGAATTCAACTGTAGTTTGATTGGATGCAAAAGACGGTCCAACATAAGACGTAACCCCGGTTGTGCCACGTCTGTTTCGAAACGTTACAAATATGACTTTTTTTCTTTATTTGACTTCTTCATATAATGCTTGCTTTTTAAAAATATGTTTTAATTTTTCTCTGTAAGTCTCTTTGTTATATATATATATATATATATATATATATATATATGATTAAATATATTTCTAATGTATGCTATATTGATGGGTTAAATTGTTCAATATATATCAGGTATAGAGCGTATGTAAATATAAAAGTGGACATTGAAGTCAACACGCAGAGGTGACAGTCTGTTTCATGCTAAACGCAATCGTCAGGCCATGTGCGTTGTATTTTTGCTCGACTTTTTATACAGGTCAGCGATGCATTATCAGTCTATTGTCTATTGTCTTATTCTAACGGTCATTTTGGTGGGCGTCTT